GTGCTCTACCTTATTTTTTTGAGACAGCGTCTCTCACTGCCTGAAGCTTGTTTACCTACTGAACAGGATTGCCCGTGAGCCCCAAGGAATCTTCTGTCTTTGCCTTCCTGGCTCTGGGATTGCACACATGCATCTAGCTTTTTGTGTAGATCCTGGGGATTCAAACTCAGAGCCTCACGCTTGCATTACAAGCACTTCACTGATTCAGCTATCTCCTAGACCTGGTAATGAGTTTTAGCACGCAAAGGCAAGGCAGTTTTATTTAAGGAAAAAAAAAAATCGTGCGCTCCTCAAATCCATTTTTATAACAAATTAAAATGTTTTTGAATCTTCTCACAAATGTTTGAGAAATTGTTGCTGAAACATTTTAAATAAAACATATAACCCCAATGGGCATAGTGGTGCATGCCTTTAATGCCAGCACTTGGAAGGCAGAGGCAAGTGGATCTCCTAAGTTCCAGACCAGCCTGGTCTACAGAGTGATTCCAGGACAGCCAAAGCTACACAAAGAAACCCTGTCTCAGAAAACAAACAACAAAAAAGTATAATCCCATTTTAATTCACCTGGATAAGAAAAGGGAGGATATATGAAAACAAATAGCGACAAAGCTTTACCTACAACTGTGTTTGTAATGAGTCCCTGTTTCTTGCACCTGTCTTCCTGTCCTGGGGACCTTCCTTATTCCACACTTACAAGGTAGTGGCCTTTCCTGCTGCTCCCAGGGACTTACGTTGGGCTCCCAAGTTCAGCTGTGATATTCTCTTGTGTGACAATGCCTAAGACCTGGTAGCAAGGAGAGGTCTTTCTTAGAGCAGAGGATATTCAAGCATTCATCACCCCGGAGCAGGAAAAGACAAGAAAGGAGAAAGGGACGGTTAAGAGACTTATCTCTGGACTCTCCCTGGTCAGGAGCCCAGATGGGCCTGAGAGCTCAGGATGGTCAATTCTTCTTGGAGGTGGTACAGGAAGTAGTCAGGGAGGAGGAGGAAGTAGTATTTCCCTTTCTAGTCAATGACATCTGCTCAAACTTTGTAGGTAATTTATGATCAGCTGAAGTGTGGATCTGGACTTATGGAGTATAGTGTAGCGCAGCTGAAGGCATTGTGGTGAGACACTGGTTACCAGGGTAGCCAAGGAGAGAGTGGGTCCAGGTTTCAAGGTGTGTGGTCAGCCAGTTTTCACCAGTTTTCCCGCACAGCACACTCCCTGCTAAATCATGCTGCTGACTGAGACATTGAGATGGGAGCCTGCTGGTTCTATTGTGGGTTCTCAGTACGTTTGCAGAAATGAGTCCAGTGTTAGCGCATGAACTTTGAGTGCTCTTTGTGAAATGTTATTAAAAAAAGCATGAGTCAACCGATATTCTCTGCGAGGGGTTTATTAGGAGGGAGAGGGAGGGGGAAGGGGGGAGCAGGACATGGGGAGAGAGAGAGAAAAAGAAGGGGCACCCCGAGAGAGAGAGTGTAAGAGTGAGAGCGTAAGAGAGAAGGAGTAAGAGAGCGACCACGTGTCGGGGTTGTCCCTTTAAGGGGCAAGGTAATCATGCCTTCCAGGTGTGGCCACCTGGCTGGTGACACATGATGACATCATAAGTTGCTGGGTAACCCAAGAGCAGGTTGTGTTCCAAAATACTAATACTTTGAAAGATGACTTATCTTAAGACATACTGATGTTGGCTTGGAGTGATGTCCCTCCTCTTAGCTGACCATCCCTAGTAAGTCTCTTAGTGAGCTTGTCAATTAGAACTCTTAGTAGCAGCCTCAGAAACCTTTGCTCAAAGCTCATGGAGAAGCAGAGAAAAAAGGCTTGCTTTCATGGCGAGCAAGGAAGGGCTGCAGTAGACACAGGAGCAGGTAACAGTTGATCCAGAACTGTTGTTGGGACCCTTCTTTTTACAGCTCTTTAAGTTCTGCTCTGTGTTAGTTCAACTGGGTGAGCTCTCCCCTCAGGAGGCAACATGCTAGCTGCTATTCCTCCTCCTCTTCTTCCTTCTCCTCCTTCTATTTATCCTCAGATTTTAAATGTACCACTTTAAATCCAGTCTGGGGATTCATTATGACTGAAAGTGTATGTTGTCTTCAGGTAGACAGATCTAGGCAACTCTGGATGTCCTAGTCAGAACCTCAGTTCATCCTATTCTTAGATCTACTCTCAAAGTCTGCTGCCTAAAGTCCAAATCAAAGGCTTCCACAGGGTCCTGAAGGCACTCAGGCTGCCTGATTTCTTCTTCACTCATTCATAATGTTACATATGGTTTTGTTTTGTAGGAAGTTGTTGAGTTTTCTGGTAAACTAATGAGCATCTTCTCATGCTTTTCAACGTTGTACATTTAAACCTGTAAGAGAATCCCATTGCTGTTGTTGTATTGATTTCTTATGAAGCAGGGTCTGTATATACACAGGCTTAATTAGTACACTACATTGTGCCCAAAATTTCTGCATCTTTCTTTTTGATTGCTATGTAATATTTTTTTGTACAATAGCTTCTTATACATTAACTTGTCTTCTGTTGATTCTATGATTTTATGAATTCTGCGGATTCTATGATTTTAAACTCAGTGTTATAAGCACTTCCCTTTTTACATGTATATTTGTGAAATAAAATCTTAGAGTTATGACTGAAGAGCATTGGAAAGTTCCCCTTTGAAGTGTGTGTATGAGAGAGAGAGAGACAGAGAGAAGGAGAGAGACAGAGAGGAGAGACAGACAGAATTACATGCTGGTTAGGAATGCAAATTCTGGGACCCCGGCAGCCTGGGCATACAATTCGGCTTTCTTCCTTTTAGTTTAGTGGCTTTGGGTAAGTTACTTAAATTTCTATGTCTTGTTTTGTTAATGGGTAAGATGGGAATTCCTTCTGCTAGGGTTATAATGCTTAAATGAACTAATCTGCTGAGATTGGGTTGACAGTTTAATACCCATTATCTGTTAACCATATTCTAGTACAACTACCCAGTGACATGTTCATATTCTGAATGGGCCGAGACTGGGATGATGGTTCATTTGCATATTCTCCTGTGCAGACACTTAGCAATGGAAGTAGATGGGCAATGAGCAAGAGTCTGAGGTCAGACTGCTGTAACCTGAGAGACCCTTTCTCAAAATGAGAGAACATGATGTTGTTAGCCCCAAATCTGCCACTCTAGACACTGTTTCACTTGTGCTTGAATGAACAGATGAATACAACTAGACTTATAAATTGCTTTTAATTTCTTCCAGTTATTTCCAAGCCCCTAACAGTCTTGTTAAGCATCACAGTCTCCCTTACCTATGGGTACCTTGAAGGCAGCATGGAGTTATTGTGCTCAAACTGACTGTAGCAGGGGGCAAGTGAGAGATAAAACAGTTTCCAGGCTCTCCAGAAATAATGAGGGGGCTCAGTGAGAGCACGGACTTGCTGTTCCTCCTAGGAGGAAGAATTAGGCTCTGCACTTCTGTTTGAAAAGGAGAATGAGCATTAGCTCCTGGACTTCTGGCGCAGGCTTTTTATGTGGTGACCTTTCACCCAGTGGCATCTTTCCTTGTTCCATTTCAAACTTTTGGTGGTCTGTGTTTGATGCTAGGTCCAGTAGACACTTGGAACTTTCATCTAGACCCTCCCAGTGGCATAATTTTCCTTTAGTGAGGCGACGTTTCAAAGACCCAGCTTCTGAGCCTGCAAATTGGGTAATAATAATACTATACTAATACTATACTAATACTAATAATAGTAAAGTGAGCTTGACACTGGTTAAAAGAGCAAACAAATAGATTAGAGTAATATGTCCTGAAGCCTTGGTCCAGGAGTCACTCTTCATGACAAAACCGAAATCATTACAGTGTTTTATTTCTAGAACACTCCTAGCAGATGTTTGTCTAGGGAAAAATCCTGTTTGTTTATTTGTTTAAATCATCTTAGAATCTGGTTAGAATTTACTATTATTACCATTTACTTAGTTTTGAGATAGGCTCTTATTGTGTGGCCCTAGCTGGCCTAGGATTTGCTGTATAGCCCGGATTGGCTTGAACTCGGTGTGATCTCCTGCCTCTGTCTCCTGAGTTCTGGGGTTATAGGCATGTGCTACCACACTCAGTTCCATTCATATATAAGTGGTTTGAAAAGTGGAAGTATCTATATGAACAGAAATTTATTTTTTAAAATTAGGCAACACGTACACCCAATCAAATACCACTCCACACAGTATCTTCAGAAGCACGACATTAAATATATTTTTAGTTGTTAGTGTGCTCTTTTTTATTATTATTGTTTTAAAAAACAATCAGGAACATGATGAAAAAAACAAAAAACAAACAAACAAACAAAAAAACAGACTAATAAACACTCACTTATAGTTACCGGATCCAAGATGAACCCTGAAGTCAGGACACTGTTTTGGGGAAAGGATTCAGGAACAATCCAGAAACGTCTTCATGACATTAGGTGCAAACATGGATCTCTCTGGATGGAAGATCCAGTGTACTTTCTGTTTTAATAATGAAGCAGGTGCCAGGGTTGCGGCCTCTCACAGGGGTCTTCTTTTGCTATAGATAACTGGCTGGTTTCTGTTTTGTTTGGGGGAATAAATATTTGAAGGGGGAAACCGGAGCCGGCTTTGCGGCTGTTATGATGTTATTGATACACGGGCTGACGCTGTCATGGCGGGTGCTAACAGGCCACATTATCTTTATGCCTCCCAGGTAACGTGAAGCAGCTGCCTATTGCCTTGGCACTCCATTACCCTGAAGGTCTGCCCTGCTGGGGACTGTAACCCGAGCCAGCCACCTGACTCACACCGGCTTCTTTAGCTACTGACAGCAAGAAAGGAAGGAAGAGCGTGAACCTCCAGGATGGAGGCTTCTGAGCAGGGCTAGACGCCGAGAAGACCGCACTGACACCTCCTCTCCTATGTAGGGGCAACAGTCACTAGTGCGTCCCCTTCAGGCACGGAAACAGTTGCTCGGAGGCAGCCCCTGGAAGACTTCCTTTTCTCTTCTGCATCTGCCATGCTTCGCTGCAGGTCATGTCCACGTGGAGGTCGAGGCTCACCCAGAGCTTAAAATTTCCGTCTCGAAGGATGCACTCCTTCCCATGCTCAGCTCTGCTGGCTTGTTTTGGTAACACCAGGGAGAATGCTGCCTTTGACCAGTCCAGCTCGACGGATGCTCACGCCACCGTTTATGTCCAGCCCATGGCCAAAGCAGGCAGACATCCAAGTGACCCTGAGGTGGAGGAGAGAGCTCCAGAGAAAAGGCGAGATTCTAGCATGCGCTCGGAGCGAAACGGCAGTGCTAGCGGCAGCCACGGCAAACACGCCGCTGTCCCGCCTGCGGAGAGCCACGAGGATCTGCCCAGGTCCCTGAACGCCGAACCAGACTGCGAAGCGGTTACTTTCCAGACGTCCATCCCTAGACCATCAATTATTGACATGCCAAAGGTGAGTGGGTGTTCCGGTGCTGTTAGAGATGGGGCGGCGTCGGGGAGTGTTCTATCATTCCGGAGAGTCTCTGGCAAACAGCCCTGTGCAAATTCGCTACTGTGTAGACACAGGGAATTCTCACTAGTGAGAGGAAGCGTGGAAAGCTTTCTAAATTCTCAGCGTGTTCTTTAAAGATGTGGAGAGAGAAGTGACAGTGAGTCCAGGAGCTGTGACAATAGCAAACTGAACTTTAAAGAAGTGGTTATGATACCTCGGAACACACAGCGTCTCCAAAACACAAAACATGAGTGGATATATGCACGATATGTAGACATGTATGTATATCCACACAAATGAAACACATGTATACATATGCCTTAAAAAACTGATCTATAACCTCATATGTATTTAAAACCACAATACGAAGTCTGACTATGGAATTTCAGAAATTGTCTTTAATGGTTAGAATGTATCATGTCCAGAAAACTGAGAATGATGGGAAATGTTGGAGATGGTAAGGAGCCTTGTGTCCAGAGCAGAAAGGAACTAATAGAATATAATTTTGAAGATTTGAAAGCAGGAAGAGGAAGGGGTTTGAAGTCTGGTATCCCTCCCCTCCTGAGGCACAGCCTTGAGTTGCTACTTTCTTTCCTTTGTTTTGGCATTATTGGATTTTAATTTTTTGCATGTTCTGATTTGACTGAGACGTGCACATGTTTTCATAGTTCTTGGAAATCCCAAATAAGAAGGGCAGTTAGGAAACAGCCTACTAAAGGCTGCATTCTTAAAGATGTTATTTAAACTTTTGTTGTTGGCAGTAATTTCTTGGCCTTAAGGACCTGAAAACATTTTGGGTATTATTAATAAGATGTCCTGATTTAAAATATTTTCTTCACAGATAGTTTAATAAATAACAGTTATTTTTTTTTTCTGATTTGCTGACATGGTCTAAGGAGTTTTTTTAGCAACAAAAATTATAACTTGCCTAACAGCAAAGATAAGAGTTAAAATAATTTTAAAAAATAGTTCTATTTGATAGTCTATAACAGTGGTTCTCAACCTTTCTAACACTGTGAGCCTTTCGTATAGTTCTTCATGTTGTGGTGACGCCCTAACTATAAAATTATTTTGTTGCTACTTCAGAACTATAATTTTGATATTGGTATGAATCATAATGTAAATATCTGTGTTTTCCCATGGTCTTAGGTGACCCCTGTGAAAGGATCATTTGATACCCCCCCTAAATAGATCACAATCCACAGGTTAGAACCACTTAGATTATGTTAAGTGAGTGAACAGAGATCTGGGGGTGTACTTGGGGGGTAGAGCATTTACTTAGCATGTCCCAGGCCCTGGATTCCATCCTCAGAATGGCCAGGGAACAAAACATAAATGATTAAGTTTATCTTTATTGCTTGAATTCTTCTATTCTGAAATTGGGCAGATTTCCCCAAATCTTGTCTTATAGCAATAAATATTTTCTCTCTGTCTCTTTCTCTCTCAGCATATTGAAACAGGGTCTCACTGTGGAGCCATGTAGACCAGGCTGGCCTTGAACCCACAGTGATCTGCCTGCCTCTACCTCCCAGAGTTCTTGATCACAGGTGTGTGCCACCACACCCAGCTTAAATTTTTTTTTCTAGTTACCATTAAGTCAAATCCCTAAACAACCAACAGAACCTAAAGTACTTGTTTTCTGTGCACACGCATGTATAGATTTAAGACCTTTGTAGTGTGTATCATGGCCAAGTTCACACTAGCTACATCTACAAGAAGTAAAAGCTGCCATGCCCTGATGAGATAGAAGCACACATTCTGTTGTGGGGAGGGAGTGCAGCAAGTCAGCATTTACCCTCTATTGCCGAGGTTAGGAGCAAAGACAAAGGGTTGACCTGATTTTCTGTCTTAGTGGTTCCTGGGACACAGGGGCTGACATAGACGTTTCACAAGAGCCAAGGAAACACAGTGGGAGTTAGTTCTCTTCTTCTTCATGTGGGTCCCAGGTATCAAACTCAGGTCATCAGTGTTGGTGGCAACTGTCTTTGCTCACTGTTCATCCTGCCTTCTCAAGCTTTAGTACTTAAAAAAAAAAATAAGGGAAGGGCATTGTGATTAAGGAGTCATGTGACCAAGACGATAGACCATTCGTAGGAATTGAATGTAATATACAAGTAGGTATATCAGAGTGATTGAAAATGAAGCTATAGCTGGGCAATGGTGGCACATGCCTTTACTCCTAGCAGTTGGGAGGCAGAGGTAGGCAGATCTCTGTGTTTGAAGCCAGCCTGGTCTACAGAGCCAATTGCAGGACAGCCAGGGCTACACAGAGAAACCCTGTCTCTGTGTAGCCCTGGCTACAAGAAAGAACAACAAGAAAGAAAGAAAGAAAGAAAGAAAGAAAGAAAGAAAGAAAGAAAGAAAGAAAGAAAGAAAGAAAGGAAGGAAGGAAGAAAGGAAGAGAGAAAGAAAGGTGAGGTTGTACTTTGGAGAAGTGTGTGGAAAGGCAATCAAGACCCACAGAGGGGTGTCTGGGATGCTACCGTGAGAGAAGTAAGTGGCAGCGGGAGCTTTTGGAATTTTGTACAGAGCTGTGTCATGTACGGGATTTAATTCTGGGGTGGAGTGAAGTTGAAAAGCCATTAAAATAACCAGTCCTTGGAACAGTCATAAAAGAGACCAGAGAGGGCACCACAGGCAGAACCAGATGCAGCAGTTTATCTTGGGAAGGGAAGCAAGAGCGGGCTGAAAGTGATAGAGGGAAAACAGCATGAAATGACAGGCCAGAGAGAGTAATAAAAGGGTGCTCAGCCGGCAAGGCAAATGGGCATGCGTGGTGGTTCTGAGGCTGAGAGCTCACCTGCACAGAACACCTACAGTCTGCCAGCCTTTCTTCTCAACACGGTACGTGGAGACTCTCATCCAACCCTAGTGAGGTGTTGCACTCTTATGGGGCACATTTTCCAGAGGGAGACACTGACAATTGCCCAAGGCCACAGACGGAGGAACTTGCAGGCTCAGGAATAGAGGCTACTTCTCTCTAACTCCCAAGCCCACCCTCTTAAATAGAATGTGCTTCTCTTGCTAATATTAATGCGTGAGAACTTAAAACCAGAAAGTCTCATATGATGGCACCATACACATACATATATATGGTGTGTATTTTTGAAAATGTACAATTCGTATAAATGTAGTAGCTGGGCTATAGCCTTAGGTTCAATCCCTAGCACTGTAATATCTTTTTATAAATGCATCCATGTGTACAATTATAATATTAGTTTTAAAAATTAATTTGCATAGTATTGTCTCCCTTGGTGGCAGATGTGTACCACCATGGAAAGGGATATTTTTCATTTTCTGTCAGTGACAAAGCTTTGCTGATGGTCATGGGGTGCTTCTATTTAAAAGTGCCAGAGGCCTCTTTGTGACCTGACAAGCCTTCAGTGACTTGATGAATGAGACACCTTTATGACACACTTGCCTGGTGGCCGACATGCTTCAGGTGAACTGATCCTTCTCGTGGAAGCTGCTTTGGTAGCGGCCACAAATGATACTTGCATTCCTTTCTTTCTTCGAGTCCAGCTTCAGAATCTGAGGAGGACAGACAGCCTCCAACGTCTTTTGTTACCCTGGTGAACAGAGGGGAAAGAGGGTCATTTAAATCTGAAACAGCATCTAATCTGAGAGGAAGAGCTGGGGGTAATGAACTCATAAACTAAGTAGAAACGACAGGGTTTTGTTTGCGGTAAAGAAGGGCATATGTGTTTATACTGAGAAAGTGATGTCAGGCCAGAGAGATGGCTGAGCAGTAAGGGCTCCTGTCACACAAGGCTGACAGCCTGGGTTCATCCCATACATCACACACACAAACAAGCAGATATGAATCATTTTTTTAATTTAAAATGTTATCTGAAAACCATAAGTGATATCAGCTAGTCTCAACTTCTGTTCTTGTCTATCTATCTGTCTGCCTGTCTTTCTCTTTGTCTGTCTAATGAGATAGAGTCTCATGACATTGCTCTGGCTGGCCTAGAACTCACCATGTGGACCAGAATGACTTTTAACTCATGGAGATCTTCCTGCCTCTGTCTCCCAAGTGCTGGAATTAAAGACATTCACTACCATGCTTAATTTCAACATTTTTTGTATGCGCTTTTCTTTCCTGTTTCGTGCTTGAAATCAAGGTAAAAAGCTGAGAATTGGAACGTGTCCTATGATCCCCTTTGGGGATCATAATGTTTCCCTTAGTAGTGGTCTGTTTCCCAGGTGATGCCTCTCGCAGTTGGTGGAATCATACAGAAGACAGAGCACATAAATGCTTCTGTTTGCTGCTCTGGCTGAAAGTTGCTGTGGTGTTCCTCTGTGTAAAGACAGTGCTGGCCCTGGATACTGTGGCTGAATGGAGAGCCCCTAAGTCGTCTGCGTTCCAGCGGGAGAGGCAGATGTGGATGGCCACAGTATCAACAGAGTATGAGGAGGCGTAGGCTCTGGATTCCTTACAAACTCAGGAGGGGCCTTGAGAGGGTCAGGGGGAGGGGAGTGGAAGCAGCTGGTAGAAGATTGAGAGAAGGGCTTCTACCCAGCACTGTGCATCCTTCTTGGTGGCTGGTAATGCTTTTTTTCCTGCTGCATCTCAGTACTATAGGTAGAGTGAGAAGAGAAAGGCTGCATGTGACTAAATTCTCTAGAGTACTTTTCTCTCTTGAGAAAGTCTTTACATAGCAATATTTTTATCTAGTTCTCGCTCCACTTGAGGGTAACCTGTCTGACACAGGAAGAGGAAATAATCGTGGCTAGGGAAATAATGCCTGGGTGAACTGTAACTTTAAAAAAATCAATTACGTGAAAATGCCAGGAAACAGGGTCCACCTTAGAGCGACCATTGCATTTGGGTTTTGCAATCAGATGTAGCACAGCAATAGAGCCACCTCCGCTGTCTCACAGTGGCCTAAGTAAAAATACGGAGATGCAGGCAGTCGCTTTTTCAGGGTGTGGACCTTGCCTTTGCTGCCTTTGAGACA